AAAGCAATTAAGGTAGTCTTCAACAATAAGAAGGATCAATATAAGCCTTACACAGATATTATTCAAGCCTAATGGGATAAGCACTTGAAGACCAATCTTCATGCAGCAGCATATTGTTAAACCCTGCCTTCTTGTATGATGACTTTGTTCATAAGAGAAGGTTAATGGATGCTATGCTTTCAGTGTTTGAGTCAACTGAAAATGAAGATGTTGATTATATTGTGATGATGAAGCAATTGAGCTTGTATTGTGACCGTAAAGAATCATTTGATAAAGTTTCATGTCATAAAGCAGCACAGAAACTAAGCCCTTGTAAGTGTTAATATTTAACATGGTCATGATAATTTTATTTATCATATAACATATAACTAGTTGTCCTTTATTTGTAGATGAATGGTGGTCGTTTTATGAAAATTCTGTTCCAGAGTTGCAAAATCTTGCAATGCGTATTCTTAGCCAAACTTCTTCTTCCTTTGGTTGTGAGAGAAATTGGAGCTTGTTTGAGCACATCCATACCAAAAGAAGAAATAGATTGGAACATCAGAGACTAAATGATTTAGTCTTTACAAACTACAATATACAATTGAAGCATAGGTAAAAATGAAAGTTATGAATGTTTTTAATAAATAAGAATTTTATTACTATTTCATGTTAGATATATACTTATATTTGATTGCTTTGATCTTATCAAAGGAGCCAATTAAAGAAAAAGACAAGTTTTAATCCAATTGATTATGAATCTATTAACAAATTAGACTTTTGGATTACTGAAGAGGAACAAGAGCCAGCTCTAGAGTTTGATGTTGATGATGTCACTAATATGGAAAGTGCTATGCATAATGAAAATGTTGTAGCTTCATCAGCTTTTGAGAAAAATAATGAAGGTTCATACTTACTAACATGTCTATATTGCATAATATATAATTATTTTTTACACAATGATTAATGTTAATTCTTGTCATAAATAGGTGAAGAAGAAAAGATATCAATATTCCAGAGCATTCACATTTGATTGATGATATTGGAAGTGGTTCTGGTTTCTCTCAATCATCTCCCAATGTTTCAATCCCTACTCCTGGAGATTTGAATGAAATTAATGAAGATTTTGGTGTTAATTATTATTAGCTTTAGACTTTTTGATGATTAAAGGATTGTAATGATGAATATTTTAAATGTTGTGTTTTTAATGATGTTTTGATGATTGTGTTAGACTTGTATGTGGTAGTATATAAGATATTAAGTCTTAGAGAATTTGTTTTTGTTTAAATCATATTATTTTATTATGTTCGATTTGAATCTGGGTTAACCCCCAGTTTAACCCCAGTTGAACCCCTGACCCCTGTCCTTGGCCGGTTCAATGGCCGGTTTGATTTTCAGTACCTTGGTATATAGTACTGTTTTGATGATTTAAAATTAGTTCTCTTCTCTCATCTTATTTATATACAATTTATACATACATATCTCTAGTGATTAGTATGTAAAAGCTTGATATATGATTGTGATATAATTTAAAGTTAGTAATTTGGGTCAAACCTGATGGGCCAGCAAATCTACACGAAAAATTTAAGACCAAATCTAAAAAAAATATTAATTTTTTAATGCTTGAGCCTATTTGAACAGCATGAATAGGCCTGATGAAATTCGGGCCAAGCCCTATTAAGTTCGAACTTGGCCCAAATTCTAGAATTGAAAAAAATTAAAAAGTATATAAAATATAATAAATATTAATTAATTTTTAAATTTTTATATCATTTATACCAAAATACTATATATTTGAGTGTATTATTATAATTATTTTAAAAAAAATTAAAAATAGTTATATTTTTATATTTTTATTATTTTTAATCAATAAAATATTTTAAAATAATATTTAAAATATATTTTAATATTAATTTTTATATTTTAAGACCTAATTTTTTTAAAAAAAAGTTTTGAGTCCTAAACATCATTTGCGTATAAAAAATTAATTTTATATATTCATAAAATAAAATAATTTATTCTAAATTAAAAATAATTTTAAAAATAAAATTTGAGTATGTATAAATTTCTGACTCTACTACTAAATAAACATAATAAATAAAATAATATTTTTAAATAATTATTTAGTTATTGTCCATGCTAAACTTGATTAAAAATTAAGAATAAACTAGAGTAAAAATTTATCATACGTAAAAGTTAAACAATATAAAAGGTTAAAGAAAATTGATTCAAAAAAATAATATTTTACTCAAAATTAAATAATTTACTTTATATAATATAATGATAGCTATTTTTATTATATTCATAAAAATAAAAAGTACAATTTACCTAAAAATTATTAAAAATTTTAAACTAATCAGGACAATAATTTTAAGTTAATAGTCTAATCGTGATTGAATTGAGATTAACTTAATTATAATTAAAATAATATAATTTAATTAAACTATATAAAATTTTTATATATGACTATAATAAAAGCAATATTTAAACAATTAATACATTAATTGACAAGTAAAGGAAATATTTATGAATAAATTATATATAATATAATATAATAGTAACAATGCTACTTAAATACAAAGTTAATACATTTTTTTATTTCATTCTTTTAAATTTAAAATAATATTTTATACTTAATAAAATTATTTAAAAATTAAAATTGATTTAAAAATTAAAGAAAAATATTTTTAAAAAAGTTCAAGTATTTGAGCCAACCCGAATAAACTTGAAGCCCGAAAGTGTTAGGACTAGGCTTAACTATATGAGTTTTTTAAAAGGGATAGGATACTTCAAGTCCGATTCAAATAAACCCAACCCAAATTAAACTCGACTTGAATAAGCCCAGACGCCCGAATTGCCAGCTCTTATATAATTGAGAATCTAAATTTCTTTTATTTATTTTGAATTTTAGAAGATTTAATTATTTTGTATGTTATAATGTTGAACTTTATTTAATAAAATAATTTTTAAAAAAGATTTTATGGGCCTGGTTTGAGCTCTTTGAATAAAAAATAAGCTTTAGAAAATGATTAGATTTAGGAAAATCAAGCTTATTGGTTTGAGTTTATAAGGGCCAAATCTTCCCGTTTCTCGGTCTATCCCCTAACCAATTTACAAGGCATAATAAATAGGACTCACAATCTTTATTTAATGAAGGTTTGGCCTCCATTATGAATGGGTGATTTTTGCACCTTTTTTTAGAATTCATGAGCAAAATTGCACACAATGAGTCAAAGATGTTTGCCAGTAGCTCCTCACATGATTCTTTATAGGTAGATTTATACCTTAAACTTTTATTTTTTTTAAATAATTGTTCCATTCATTTCAATATTTGGAATTTACATGTGATTTCTTTTCAGTATAGATACCGAGGACAAGAGCTAAAATGATTAAAAAAAGGGAAAATGACATTTAAGTAACAAAATATTGAATTAAACTTAAATAAGAATAGAAATATTTAGAAATATGAAATAAAAACCAAAGGTCTTTTTTAGTGAATTGGCATAAAAAATTTCTACTCTCATTTCATTTTTGCAATCCTCAAAATAAAAATTTGCAAGTGAGATTCATTAAAAATTTCATTTTCCACAAAAAAAAAATTGTCAACTATATTACTTATTTCACAAATTAATGGATCTTACTTGTAAAATTGTATTTTGAAGGTTTTAAATAAGAGTATGAAGGTACAAATCATGGAAAGTTGTGATCAGTTTGGAAAATTTTTTCTTTATAAATTAGTGAATTTCACTTGTAAATTCTTATTCTTAATGTCGCAAATCATGAGAGGAGAGTAACAAACTTTTGAATCAATTTGCTAAAAGATTAAAGACCTATGATCCTCATTTCTTATTTCCAAATCTTTTGGTCTTCATTTGAGTTTAATTCAGCCTTTAGTTCTTTAGTTTCATTCTCCAATAAAAAAAATTCATTGTTCCCTGAAATTTTGAAATGAATATCATATTGTTCCTAGAACCAAAACTCTAATAATCATTTTGAAAAGAGAATCGAAAATCTGTGTTCATTGCTTTAATTCTTGTGTCCATTATTATTTGACTGTTAACGAGTGTCCAGTTGATTTTTGCATTAAGAGGCTGAAAATAATGGTTTTGAAGACTAAATTAAGTTTTGTTCGGAGTGGTTATATTTTTTTTTTTTTGGTCAATAGTTCGGAGTGGTTATTAAACAACACAATTTCCAAAACTATAGTTAGAAACTTCAAAATCAAATAACATAATTTTTTTAAACCGCCTTTGAATCCAAAACGAAGCATAGAAAACAAGCAATTAATCCATATATAGCTGCCTTAACCTCAGTCTTATCCTGCGATTAACTTCAATCTTTACCTAGAATCTTGTTAGCAAATTAATTGCACCTCAACTCCAATTCTAATTGTTGCCTAGTTATCCCCAATTGTTTGAGTTGAGCTCTATACTCTTTCCATTTCTAAAATATAAGAAAAATAATTAGCTCACATAATTTAATAAAGTTGCTTAAATGTAATGATTATATCTGAAAATTAAAAATGGAACTAAATTATTTTTATAATTTATGAAATAAATTTTTCTAGTAAAAAAAATATTTTCTTTTGAGGTAAAATTTGACAAAAATGTAATAAATGTTTCTAAAAATTTATAATTTGCTTAATGTTAAAAACAAAGACACACATAATAATTTGTTTTATAGTCGAAAACGGTGGAGTAGTTAATATGAATATTCATGCCAATTTACCTGGTTGAATAGGTAAACCATTGAACCATTAATCAATTTAATAAAATTTTTTATTTATGATAAGTTTGATTAAAATTTAACTATGATTTTGATAATTACCTCTTAAAGTTTTAATAGTCCCTCAGTGTGGGGTCACAAGTGAAAAACTAGAAATTTAAAATTCTAAATAATCTTGATTTCAAACTTGGGCTTGCCTTTGACCCCCCCAAAAAAAAACTTGGGCTTGTCAAGTGTATCCAAAAAAACGTCCCAAACAATCACAAACATCGTAAAGAACTACCAACTTGGGAATCTCGTTAACTCCTGGCTGCGCCATTCATTAAACGATGAACGGCATCCTCTCTTTCTCTCGGTCGATCCCGGTGAAACCCGTTTCTCCATTTCGCGCCAAAACTGGCGTCAGAAAATCCCCTGCAATCATATTCGCACGTCTTGAGGATTCTCAGCAGCAGCAACTCAATCTCTCTGTGCTTCGCTTCACGTTGGGTGAGGAAGCTTCTGACTCTGTTTCTGCGCCTTTGAGATCGATTTCGTTCCCATTTTGATCGCATTTGTTTCAGGGATACCTGGATTGGACGAATCGTACTTGCCCAGATGGATTGGATATGGATTGGGTTCGCTTCTGCTCTTAAATCACTTCGTTGATTCTGGTTCAACCACTATCATTCCAGCGCAGCTTGTAAGCAAACCCTTGCATCTAGATTCTTTTAATTTTATTCCTGTGATGGATTTCAGTTAGTCGTTTATTGTTTGATTTGTAGACTACAGAAATTTTGGGGCTTTCTCTGGCTTCCATTTCTATTGCTTTGCCTTACTTTGGAAAATTTCTCAAGGTAACTTTTCTATCTAAGATTTGCTCTTTTTCTGCTGTCGAGGACCATCATTCCTTCAAACCCCGTTCATTTGTTTACATACTTTTGTGACCAATTCAATCTGATTTTATGTTTAGTCACCTTTAACCATTCAGTAATTGATGGTGGCGAAAATGTCATTCATGTTTAACTTGAAATTTGGTATTTTTCTAATTTTCTTCTACCAATGAAAAATTTTCCGTGTCTTCTTCAATCATCTGAAAAGTTAGATAGTTCGAAGTTAAAATCCCACCGGGGTTTAGAATGCTTGAAATTAAGTTGATGTTTTGGGTTTGTGTTTGATAAGAAGTCTTCATTTTTTACCGTTTCTGGAAATTGCAAGATCGTGAAAATATGAACTGCTTGTAATTAAGATTTGCCATATGGCTGATGTTGCTGTAGGGAGAAATAAATATAAAATCTCAGGTCATTAAGTGGATTTTGGACCGTGGGTGACACAAATAAGATTAAAAAAGGAAATGACAAGGAGAAGCTTTTTGGTTAAAATTGAAGTAACATCTTATCTTTTTACAAGTCAGAAATTGTGAGAAGGTTTTGAGCCTATGGGAATGATTTTCTTCATCACTTCATGGGCAAGTTTGCACTTGAAAGAACCCCAAATTTGTGTGCAGAAGTTGGACATTTTTGTGACATTTGTTTCCCAAGTTTAATGGTAAAATTTACCGCCCACACCCTGCTTCGAAAAGGTTAATTTAAGATTACTAGCATACTAGCAGAAAGAATCCTTGGTTTTATAAGGATGTTGATGTGAACTTAAAACTGAATAGACTCACTCAAAAGTGCATTAAGAAAAGGTGCATCAATTGAATTTTTCTCCAAGTTTCTTTTTCGAATGCTATTATTTTTTACTAGTCGGTACTTAATATTCATTATAGTTTATAGTATCAACCTCCAGTTCATACATTGAATAATGAATGACTGACATGCTTGCCTTTCCAATGTGATGTTTTGAAAATTTTTATAATGGTGGACCCAATAAGTGTAGTGGGGCTAAGCAGGCCCAATAGCCAAGAGTCCAGGTCTGAGTGAATGGAGGATGTGTGGGTCCTTTCATCTTGGGGCATGTGCTGTCAGTGGAAGGCGGGTTGAGAGGGGGTATTGTGGGGGATTGTGCCTGATCTCTTGGTTCCATCACATACAGTTTTTACTATAGTTTATTATGTTATAAGAAATCATAAATTTAAAATTTCCTTTGGAATAACAACATAGTGCATGTAGAACTAGTTTAGTATGTAAGTTTTAGTTGGGAATTAAGTTATATTACTCTTTTTTTAACGTAAATTATAGCTGGAGCTCAAACATAAAATAGCGTGAACATCAATGATCCTCAAACTGGTCTTAAAATCTATGCAGGGTGCTCAGCCAGCTTTTCAAAGAGTTCAACCTGATGGTGCAGAGCAAATATTTGTTATGTCTCCCAATCTAGCGGGTATTCAGAAGGAGGACCTGGCTTGGGCATCTTATGTTCTGTTGCGTAATACGAATGCCATAGCTGCAGTATGTATCATTCTTGATCATTGAGTGTTAATAAACAGTTCAAAGGTTGACCCAGAAAGCGTCAGAATGAATAACAATCATAAATAGTACTTATGCACAATGGTAAAGTTCATTTTCAAAAGGAAAATTTATCAAGTGATCCATGTTTGCTGAGGGTGTGATTTTAATGTGTTCAGTTAATTTCGATTCAAGGAGATATATGCATACGGGGCTACTGGAACGTACCAGCAGAAAACTCATCGAAAGAAAGTCTTCTTGGATGGTTTCAGGAAAAAGTAGAAAAAGCCGGTCTCTTTGATTTGAAGGACACCCTTTATTTTCCTCAAGAAGCAGGTATGGCCCTTTTTTGTTAAAAAAAAAAATTGGATAATTACTTGGTGGGAGTTGAACCATAACAATCATTTCTTCTGCTCACTAACCAGAAAATGATAGTTTACAGTGACGTGGTACCTTAAGATGCTATACTGTATGTGTCAGCAGTTGGGTAGAGGGGGTAGATGATACGAATCCTATAGTTAGGTTCCATGGGGTGCTCAAGGCTTTTTTCTTCATGCCTTAAAATTTCTTTTTCCTTTTACTGACCAAACTGAATGTTCTATAAAGAACCAGGATTTTAATTTAGAATGATTCAGGACTTTGTGTTGGAAATTGCACATTTCTTAGAATTATTATTGGGATATATGTGCATTATCTGTGTTTTCATGGGCTTCAGCTGAGCGTGAAAGTTGTCAATTGTATCACTTCTACAGTCCAATCATGCTAATATAAGGTTGACATTTATATTAGCAATTGATATCTTCTTGTGTATTTTTTTTTTTATTTTTTTGGTGAGAATGGGCATCTTATGTTATTAAATACATTCCATACTTGCATGAATTGATGTTCACTTTGTAGATTGTAAGGTTTTGTTCATATAAACTGAAAGTCTGATAAACAGATGTCAGATTCTGAATTTCAGGAGCTTCTGCCAAAAGGGGCTTGCTCTGTCCTGGTGCAACCATTGTTACAAGTTTCAAGCCAGCCTGCCAATGGACCACAAAATCCTGAAGGTTTTATTCTTCTGGCCTCAACTGTGACATATGCATTTAGTGTTAAAGACAGAGCCTGGATTGCAGCTGCGGCCAACAAATTCAGTGGTACAAGTAGACTTACCAATTTGTGAATGCATTTACATCTCTCATGTGATAAGTGAAGCAAATCTACAATCTCACTATGTAACATTTTTCTTCCGTGTAATTTTGTGTGTGTAATCCCGGTTTAGCTTTGAAATGGGTATTTTTTCCCCTTATTTTTTATTTTTCAATGTTTAAAGATGAAAGAAGTAGTATGCAACTGGAAAATTTTGCTGGCATTCAATGAGAAAAATGATGAGCATTCAGAAGTTTTGTGAGAGATTTTTCATATGATACTGTCTATTTGTTGTCAGCTAGAAGAAGTAAAGGAAATAAGAATATATATATATATATATTTTGTCAAATTTGTTTAACACTCATAGTCTTCATTTTTTCTCATTTGTGTCTGGAAGTTAGAACTACTCTGATCCTGTGCATCTCTGACGTTGCTGTTGAATATCACGAAGTCATCGCATATCAGTTGGTTATCCAAGACAACTAGAGAACTAACTTTGACTTGATTTATTATTGATAGCTACAAAGATGAGATGCAGCAAAACATTATTCTTTCCTGTTGGAAGGTTTTGATACCTTTGATGCGATTTGTCTAGTAGTATCATACTGATGATCATTATGATCAATTTTTTTTGATGATTTAGAAATTAGAACCAACCATAATATGGAATTAAAATGATAAAATTTTATGATACCGTGAAGAATATAATCATCTTGTTCCCTCATCAAGGAAATGCAAGTTATTTGGATATTGAAATTCAGACGAAAGTGAGAAATATATATTTAATGACTAATGTGGTGTTATAGAGAGATCCACTACCCACAAACTGCATTTGCAGAGACGTTAATGTTCGTCTGTGATGGAAAGCCACGAACTTGGAAAAAACTGAGTTTCACCCTTTCTATACAACCATGAAGGAATTGTTTCGCCACGGAGGTTTACTGAAAATTAAACTGCATGCTTTCAATATTATAATGCGCTACATTTTATGAATAGAGTTTTCTTAGTTTCAGCTCTTCTCAGGGAAGAGCAATATTTTTCTTTATATATACATATATATATATATATAAAAGACCGTTGAGTGGATAAAGAATTAACCTCAGATTTTTTTGAAATTTTGTTTGCAGATCAGCTCAATTTACTCCCTCGATGTCATCAATTCGATATTTAAAAATAAATGAAATTTAATAATTTATTATGACACAGTTCTAGTAAATGTCCTCAATTAATATACATAAACACGAAGATAATTTATAAATATACATATTTATAATTGAGGCCGTAGCTAATTGAACTATGGGGAAGGGCTTCCTTATGATTCTGGTATGCCTGCATTTACAAGGTTGTATCCTTTGCATTTTGTCCAATGATTTTGTTGATTCTAAAGTTTCAGTAAAAGCATAAAACTAAGACATCTGTTGCTTTTATGAGATGACGGTAAGCCAAAAGCAATTTTGATCTTGCTAGTAAATCATAAGCTATGTTCGAATGAAAATTTTAAATTTTTGAGTTTACTTGAATGCTCTCAAATGTGGCTCCACATGTGACTTTTTTATATAACATCCTAACCTCTACAGAAAGGGGATTGGAAAACAATACCCTTATAGACTTAATGTCAAGCTTGGGTTGGGATTCAGAAGAACAAAGAACTCATTCAGAACAACAACAACAACAACAACAACAACAACAAGCTTTTATCCTACTAAGTGGGGTCGGCTACATGGACTGCAAGATGTCATTGTGCTCTATCATTTATCAAGCTTTTAGGAACATTATTAATTAAGAGATCGCGTTCAACAACTTCCAAGAGTGTTCTCTTAGGCCTTCCTCTACCCCTTTTATTCGGACTCAAAGTTATATATTCCACTCTTCTCACTGGTGCCTCCCTTGGTCTTCTTTGTACATGCCCAAACCATCTCAATCGATTTTCTACCATTTTTTTCTCAATAGGTGCTACCCTCACTTTTTCGCGTACGTGCTTATTTCGAATTTTATCTTTACATGTATGTCCGCACATCCATCGTAACATTTTCATTTCTGCTACTCCAACTTTATACTCTTGTTGTCCCGTTAGAGCCCAACATTCACTACTATATAACATTGCCGGTCTGATAGCAGTGCGATAAAACTTTCCTTTAAGTTTATAAGGCACCTTACAGTCGCAAATAACTCCTTTAGCTTTTCTCGAATTAAACCACCCAGCTTAAATCCTATGTGAAATATCTCCACTAATTTTACCATCATTTTGAATAATGGCTCCCAAATATCTAAACTTTTTCACTTGATGTATAATTTGATCTCCCAATTTCACTTCCAAATTATTGTCGAATAGTCTCTTACCAAATTTACAATATAAATATTCCGTCTTACTCATACTCAGACGGAAACCTTTCAACTCCAATGTCCTCCTCCATAATTCAAGTTTGCAATTAACCTCTTCTCTTATCTTTGCTATAAAAACTATATCATCTGCGAAGAGCATACATTTGGGAATTTCCCCTTGAATATGTTCCATCAAAACATTTAAAATCAAGTTGAACAGATAAGAACTTAGAGATGATCCCTGATGTAGTCCAATCTTTATAGAAAAATCCTTTGTTTGACCACTAGGCGTTCTTATACTAGTTTTTACCCCCTCATACATATCTTGTATGGCTTTAATATAAGCAATCCGTACTCCCTTTTTTTCCAACGCTTTCCAAAGAACTTCTTTTGGTATACGGTTATAAGCTTTTTTCAAATCAATAAAAACCATGTGTAAATCTTTATTTTTACAACGAACTTTTCCATTAATCCCCTTAGTAGATAAATCGCCTCTGTAGTTGATCTACCTAACATAAAACCAAACTGATTCTCAGAAATACTTGTCTCCAATCTTAACCTGTGCTCAATTACTTTCTCCCACAATTTCATTGTGTGGCTCATGAGTTTAATCCCTCTATAGTTAGTACAATTCTGAATATCTCCATTATTTTTATAAATAGAAATTAATGTACTTCTCCTCCACTCATCAGGCATTTTCTTGGACCGTAAGATCATATTAAATAACTTAATTAACCATCTCACCCCTTCTTCACCTAAACATTTCCACGCTTCGATAGATATACAATCAGGTCCGTTGGCTCTACCATTTGCCATTTTCTTAAGAGCTTCCTTTACCTCCTTATCACGTATTATTCGATAGAATGACAAATTTTGTTCTCCTTCACCAATTACTAAATCCTCCAAGTTACTAGATGAACCTTCTCCATCATTGAAAAGGTTGGAAAAGTAAGTCTCCCATCTATTTTTAATTTCATCATCTGTAACTAAAATTCTTCTCTCTTCATCCTTAATACACCTTACTTGTTCTAGATCTCTTGATTTTCTTTCCCTACTCTTGGCAATCTTATAAATGTTTCGTTCTCCTTTCTTTGTCTCAAGGCTCTTATAAAATTCTTCAAAAGCTTTAAAACGAGCTTCACCCACAACTCTCTTAGTTTCCATCTTAGCCATACGGTACTTCTCCCAATTTTTCTCATTGTTACACAAATGTATGGCTTTAAAACAGTTCTTTTTATACTTGATTTTATCCTGTACACTATTATTCCACCACTAAGACTCCTTATCTCTCGAACCAAAACCTTTTGATTCTCCCAAAACTACTTTTGCAACCTCCTGTATCTTTTTAGCCATATCCTCCCACATGATGTTAGCACTTTCTTGAGATTCCCAAATTTCTTTGTCCAAAAGATTTCGCTTGAAAATATCTTGCTTCTCACCTTTTAATTGCCACCACCTAATCCTTAGTGCTATTACTTGTTGACGCTTTTGGATTTTACTCATAATACACACATCAAAGACTAGGACCCTATGTTGTGTTGTTATAGCATCTTCAGGAATCACCTTGCAATTTTTACAAAGTCTTCTTTCTATGTTCCTAATCAAAAGAAAATCAATCTGTGACCTTAAGGCTCCACTTTTGTAAGTGATGAGATGCTCATCTCTCTTCTTGAAACAAGTGTTAGCAATCTTAAAATCATACGCCAATGAAAAATTAAGAAAAGTTTGTCCTTCATTATTTAGCTCTCCAAAACTAAGACCACCATGCACCCTCGTATACTGATCAGCCTCCCTCCTAACATGCCCATTAAAGTCTCCTCCAATAAAAATCTTTTCACTCTGTGGTATGTGTCGAATCAACCCCTCCAGATCCTCCCAAAATAATTCCTTAAGACTGGCTTCTGTAGCGACTTGTAGCGCATAAGCGCTAACAATATTAACAGTCTCATGTCCAATTATCATTTTTAAGGAAATAATTCTATCTCCAATTCTGCTAACTTCTACAACATTATTCTTCCACTCCTTATCCATAATGATGCCTACTCCATTGCGTGCGCTTACTTTTCCTGTATACCAAAGTTTGAAACTTTGAATATTCTTAGCTTCTTCTCCACGCCATTTTGTTTCTTGCAAGCAAAGGATATTGATTTTCCTTTGAATCATAACCCCTACAACCTCTACAGATTTACAATTCAATGTCCCAACATTTCAAGTACCAAATCTAATTTTGCTCTCATCGACTAACCTCTTTAGCCGCGCACGTTCAGAATGATGCGGTAGCCCTTGCTCATTTAACATTACATCCGGGCGTCGATGTAGCAGCTCTAACTCACTTATCACTGTACTCGAGCCATGCAGCGCGTTACTTACAGGCAACGACCTAGCATTAACATTATAACGTCTATTGTCCATGTTCATGATAGATTCAATAAAGTTTTACATTAGTTGTTGATGGTCTAACACAACCCTCCTCCTTTACCCGGGCTTGGGACCGGCTATAAACATAGGCGGAGTTAAAGAACTCATTCAGAAAAAACAGAAAAATCTCAGTTTAGGTTCACCGTGAACTTTGCTGTCTATTTGTCCCCTACTTTTTTATCCCCTTGTCCCATTTTGATTGTGATTGGCATCATTAAATCTCTAAGAGAATGATTTCATGTCTGAATCCTCTTTAAATACTTGAAATAATCTATGAAAAATTGTAGCTCATCTAATAAATGATACGGTTAAGCATTTTGGCCCGCGGAAAGCATACTGGGTGGTCCTGTTTATTCTGTATCTGTGATGCTTATTTCCAGGTTGATGCAGACGTCCATTAAGTTTGAAACCGTAAAGTTTCTGACAAGGAGCCAAACGATCTGAGTACTTTTACAGAAACTTCTCCAAGCCATATACCAAATTCTGCAAGGATGACCTGAATGAAATGCTTGAAGCAGAAGGATGAATCAAACCAAAAGCTACAACTTTACATTATATTACCTTAAGGCGAACAACCTTTCTAATTGCTAATAGGAGGCCTGGCATGAGAGACTGCACATTTGTGATTTCATGTTTGAGAGTATAGATCTGCAGCCAACAGATTTGCTTATGAGAAGATGCATTTCTCAGAAGTGGAATCAATGTAATTCACGCATATACACACATACCTCTCCTGGACCAGAGAAGTGAACTGTTGCACTGGATGGAAGCCCAGGAAGGACCAAGCTGTGGACGCGAATTCCATCTTCTCCAAGAACTTGACCCCTTGCCTAGTGGGACAAAATATTTATGAACATCTTTACCTTTTCTTTTATCAATGAGGGATATATTACTGAGATTTTTTTATGCTTACCAAGACGTCTGTTGAAAGATCTTCTCTGTTGTAGATTTGACCAAGGTTTGAGAGATTGTTGGCGATTTGGATTGCATCTGCTGAGGGAAGATCCTGTTCACGAAGGACATATTCATATGCCACTACCATCTATATCTATCTTATCTTGACGTTGGTCTCCTATACCCAATACACTCTTTCTTGATAGAACTGTAGATAAAGAATGAAATCTTACATTTGCAGTAGCCTTTGATTCCACTATTTCGACATTGCTGTAATGGAAGGAGGCTGAGATAGCAGCTTGTTGAAGTAATATTGATCCTATGGATAGGGTTGGTGCAACCAAGACACCCTAGCATTGAACACAACCAATAGCCACAAAACAAACACATAACTTAGAAGCAATGTTTAGTCCAAATTTTGACCCCAAAACAGAGGAAACACAAAAGTTGAAGTATACATTGTGTCATTTTCATTATATCTCACCCTGTGCTCACCATGCTGGCCTTCTCGCAGAACGTAGATAATGCAGCCACTGTATCCACTTTAAGTCTAGGCACGTACACCACACTTCTCATTCCAAATGCTGTTGCCTATTTTGAAGAATGAACCAACACTTATCACCTTAGTAGCAGTAAGTAATGCTAGAATCAAATTTAAGAGTGCTGTAATTTTTATTAGATGAGTCAATGAGGAACAGTATGGTTATAAAAAATATTCTAATGTTTTTTTGTTAATAAAACATAACAATAAACACCTTAGAGGCTGCATAAAAAATTTGTGCAAGTTTTTGAATGTATTTGGGCTATGATTACCAGATGATTGAGAAGTAGAATGAAGGGTGGTATCCATAAAAACCAAACCTGCTTTACGTTGTCATAAACTGAGGAGGGGTCAGTGAAATCGACGACTACCGCATTATCTTTGGACTGTCAAAAAATTTGCCATTCAGTACCCAAAAAGTTTATCAATGGATAAGTTTCTTAATGAATATTTTATTCACATTACCTGAGATATTGATCCTAAAACCATAGTGAGGTCATTTAGTATTGGAATCTCAAGAGGCTCTTCCATGTCGCTCACCTACAAAGCACAATGAACTGATAACAGATTAAGGTTCAATATTTTGAATGAAGCTAAAAACTCAAGGAAGATAATCCATCTACATTACACAATAAATATGTTATATAAAATCTATTATTATTTTGTTATCATTACTTAAAAGTGTTGGAATAACGTTATCATTGCATGTGGATTTGTATTAATCAACCACCAAATTTAATTACCAGACTATGGTTATTAACATTGGTTAGTTATGTTGTGTATTTTACTCAGATGAATCGGGTCACTTTATTATTATTGTTATTATTTTTTGAATATAAAGTGACAACATTAACCAAGAAAGGTAAAATCCTTACACATTTAAGGATCACCTTTTTTCATCATTCACCACCCGCTTAGCTTATAGTAAGGTGGGGGTTGATCAAAAGAACAAAAGGACCCAATAAGGGTAAAAGCAAAATTAACTAACAAATGGGCATAACCATTCTCTCTAAACATAAAATTCAAATAAACATAATTACTCCTAAGCAAGAGGAATCTAGCACAATGGATGATATCTCTGAACGGATGAAGTTCAATATCTGAACGCAAAAGAAGATTCACAGCCTCAGCCCAATCTGTGAAAACGTTGACTCTTTGAAATATCATCCTAGAACATAACTCCAGCCCTTGTGTAATGCCAATAATTTCAATGATGGCAGGAGGAAGAGACTATTCAAGTTATACATATATATATATATTGGAAGAGCCTCTAATTTACAAACTAAATTATGAAGTCAGCGATTCTATTTAAACTAATCAGGGGCATTGTTGTAATTTGTCACTGTCTGCAGCACTTGTACATGTTCCTGGACATTTTGCCCTATCTATCTTATTTCACTCATATTGACCAAGTGGGTTGTAACATTTGGCTTCTTCTTCCATCATCATCATCATCATCATCATCATCTTTGATTGCTAGCAAAGCATATAATCCCACGTCATTACTAGATATATTTTGTTTCTGTTATGGCATTTGATTACATCAAGTAGTAGTTTTCCCCCCTCTAAATTTTATTTAGTGATATCATACAAAGGACATTTGATATACCGAAGGGAGTGAAAAGCAATGACCTTCCCAATGTCTTCTCCAACATGGTAAGTATCCACTGCTCCAGCCACTTCCATTCCCCTGGCTTTGGTCACTGCCACAATAGCTGCTCTTCCTATTTCCTTTGCAGCTCCATTTATCACAACCTTCTCCACATTTCAGCACAAAAATCACTCATGAGTACATTTCATCGATCTTTTGGATCAAATAGATGCAGGCCCTGTGCTTCAGTGCTTTACACAGATTCTAATAAGAGCCGGACTATTCATGGCTCATGAATAATAAAATTTATAATTTATATATTGAATATTGACTTTGAGATATATATATATATATATATATGATGTGACGAAACTGCAGCAGCGTGAGAATGCATTTGTGGAGTTAGTACCTTTATGTTGCTTTGTGTGGGTTGTGCTGAACAGGAGATGCAATGCTTGCTTCTGCTGATTTTGATGCTTCGAGAAATGAACAAGCAGCTAGTGGCATAAAATTTGCAGCTTGAGGCTGCCATGGCTGCTTCAGTCCAGCCTCGCTCAAGATAAGCATTTAACGTTTTTGTGACCATTTATCTTTCCGCATGTGATGATGAGGTGTTAAGGTGTGGGCCTTTTGTGATAAGCCATGTTATGTTGGCTGAGTCTGGAAATGGCCATTTGTTTGCAGGATGAGTCGACCAGTGGACAATAAGCCCGTTAGATAGGCCCTCTTATACACTCCAATGCCGGAATCACAAAATTCATAAATAAAATATTTTTTTCACAACGGAACAAAATATAATTTGGAAAAGTTACATACCATGAAGCTAAATTTTTTATAAATAAGTCTCGTGAAATTCAAAAATCACAAGATCTCTTAAGAATTGAGTGTAATTTGAAATTTAGATGAAAAAATGATAATGTCTCTATTAAACAAACATACATTATATCAGTCAAATAATTTATTACTACTTCATCAATAATATACGATTATAAATGTAATTTTTTTATAATTGTAACTTCATATATTCAATAATTAAAGTTATGAATTGAAATTTTGAATATGTAAATTTACAGTTATAAAAAAATTGAAATTATAGTTACAAATTACTAATGTAATAGTTGTAAATAATTAATGTTAAATTTTGTTAGTCACACATGATTGTCTAACCATTAGATATAAAAAGTTAAAATTTATATGTGAAGTTACAGTTATAAAAAGTTAAAATTATAGTTGTAAATTATTCATGAAGTAATTGTAAATTAATTATTAATGTAATATATCTTTAATAGGAGTATTATTGTCTTTGCAATTTAATTTTAAATTACATTCAGATTTTAAGAGACCTGGTTGTAATTTTTGAATTTTATGAGATTTATTTATAAATAAATTTGCTCCATAGAACCTATATATAATTCTCTCATATAATATTACATTTGGATGTAAGGAGATTTGTATTTGAGTTAAGTTTACCATTTGGATCCATAAAAACTTAGACTTGGATCTAAATCTAAACGTTATTATACTTTTTTTTTTTAAATTTCTCTTACACTTTGATTATTTAAAATACTAGTTATTCTAGCCCTGGACTCTTTCCATTTTTATTTCTCATCTCTCTTTTTCATTTTCATTTTTTTAAATTTAAAATTTTTTAAACTATTCAAATAAAAAATTTTAAATATATGAATTTTAAAAATATAGTTTTAAATAATTAAGATTTATCAATTCAAATACTACTTTAGGTTGAATCACCAAATGCCGAGGGTACTTACCACCTTGATTAATCGGTCTTGTCCGCTTTTTTACTATTCTTATTTTGCATTTTCTTCCATTTGAACAATCAATTTAAATTTATTATTATTTAAATTTTAATATTATTAAATTATTAAAATGTATTCCTTTTGTTCAAAAATATAAGATATTTTTTTGAGGAGTTAGATATTAAAAAAATATAAGATATTTTTAGTCTTTTGAGATGTAACCATTGTCTTTTTTTAAAAGTGCCCTTATTGATAGTGATTTTATATTTATTATAGGATATTTAATAGGAGTAAATATGGCAAGATAAAATTAGTTTGAAAGTAGGTAACTACTTTATTGGGAGGTGAGACTCTGTTAAAAATATCTTATATTTTTAAATGGAGGGAGTATTAAATAAATAAATAAATATGGATTGTTAAAGTTTAATTTAATTGGCTTAAAAGGCTTACCTAAAATGGAGAAGAAATGGGGAAAAGCTAAAAAGAAATCCAAATGGATCTAATAATTTTTATTATTTAGTAATAATGGTCTATTTTTAAGGTTTAAATCTTTTGATAGTTCTACTTATAAATTTGCAAATTATTTTTGAAACAAAACGATGACGAGGAAATAGGGAATTGGTAGAGAGTAGGAATTTTCAGATTTTCTAAAGTGGCCCATTAATAGTCTTATTTACTAAAGTTTGTCATGGTGAGTAAGGTGTTCAGTTTGGATTCGTCTCGATTGATCTGATATCATTCAAATCATATCGGGATGGGTCTTATCCCGGTTCAAAAATAATTAAAACAGGACTTTATGGGACGAGACAAGAAAGGAATTTGGGATGAGATGGGACACGAGATTATCATCAAGATGTCCCATCCCATCCCAAATATTATATATTATTTATTATTTTAAATATATTAATATAATTTATACTTATATTAATTATATCAATTATAATTTCAATACTTACAATTCATATTTCAAACTAAAGTTTTTTATATTGATAATTTTAATGACATGAAGTAAATATAGCGATATCTTTTTTATAATTTATTAATTATATTAATATAATTTGTTTCATATCTATCTATTTAACAACTTTTATTTACAATATATTTCTTGCTTTATTTTTAAAAGAGTAACTAGTGTAACATCCTGATTTTTTATATAATAAAGAAATTGTGGAATTTAGGTTTTGAGAAAAAAAAATGATAATAATAGGAATTTATATTATTTGAGGTTATTTAGAAATAATATTATGGTTAGGTATTTAATTATGAATTTAAAAATTTAAATTTAAAACCACATAAGCAATATTTAGTTAAGATATAATACATAAATAATATTTTTTTTATGTATGTGTTGAAAAAAAAACAGAGAGAAGGTAGAAGGAACAAAAAAAAAGGGGGTGGAAGGTTGTTGTTTCTAAGTCCCACATTGGTTAGATGAGGAAAGAGAAGAGGTGCCTTCATGTATAAAAAGGAGGGGGTGTGTGCATTAGGAAGCATGAGAGGCTAAGATGCAATTTAGAGAAAATTGCAACTTTTGGCCCAAAGGTTTGAATAATTAAATTCAAACCTATAGTTTTTTTTATATAATTTTGGGACTCACAATCCCATTTTTATATTATTTTTCTCTCTTCCTCTCACGTTGCTCGGCGTTTTCTCGCAAGGGGGGATTATTTTCTTTTTTCTTCAGGTATGTTCTAACTTTCCTGTTTAGATTAGCATTTAAAAATTTATTTAATTACAAAATTAATTTTATAGTTATTTTTTAAATAATATTAGCTTTCTAGTGATATGATTATTTTGTAGGATAGAGTAAATATTTTGATTAGGATTTTTTCTATAGGATAGTAAATCTGATGATATGATGGATTAAAAATATAGGTTAAAACTCTTAGGGATATAATAAATATTATAGAATATTTTCTTGAGGTTGAAACTCATGTTTAAGAATTTTTGAGTTAAAATCTAGATCTATATGGTTGAATTTATGTGGAATCTGAGATGTAGGGATAAACCTATGATTATTAAATATTTATTTAAGTATGAATAGGTATTTTTGAGGTTATAGAAAGGTGATTTGAGGCTTCAGGATAATTTTAAAAATTTAATTTATTTTTGGACGAATTTTTAGAATATAGAAGGATGAAATTGTGATACTAGAAGTGATTTGAGGATAAAAAAAATAGTTTATTAGGGTACGAGAATTTTAGAAAAGAATTTGGGAAGTTAAATGAGGCATAAATCTTAAATTAGTGTTAATATGGATTATAGATCTAAGACTTTCTAACTATTTAAATTAGAGTTATTTATTTTAATGTAAAATTAATATATAGTATTGTGAAATAATTATGTAGATTATATTGACAAAGATAGTGGTGAAAAAGGAGTTGTGAAGGGGAACTTGTTATTCAAGACACAAGGTAACCATTATTAATGTGTTGTGATGAGTGTGTTTGTGAATGGTTATGTGTTGTTTTGTTGTTTGGAAAAATTATGAATTATTGAAAATAAATACTGTATATACTTGTTTGAAATTATTGCCAAGTGGGTTAAAAATTTATTTTTGTTTATCATGATGAGATATTATTGTTCGGATATATTCCTGTTTGGATATTTGAATGATGCATGACTTGTCAGGGTATTTTAATGTATGGTGTTAATGGGAATTTCTGTTCGGTTAATTATTACCACGTGGTAAGCCCTCATTGGACCCAATGAGTGGCGTGTCGCTTGGTCCAACTCACCTTTGGCCGGGTGATTTGGCGTCCGAGCATGGCGAAAGGAGGATATAAGGTGCAGTCATGCAAATTAAATACTTGTTCGGTTTGTTTGAAAGTATTGTTCGGTTAAATGTTTTGTGTGCCCACTTAGCAATCGCATGATTAGTTACATCCGCATGCATCATTACATATTAATTTTTGGTTACTGGGACTTTTAAGTCTCATTCCCCGTGGTTAATATTTTTACAGGAGCGAGTCCGGCCGAGAAAGCACCAGAGGTGTAACTGTGGTGTATGAGACACCATCTTTTACGTTGCCTCTTATTTTAGATTATACAATGTATCTTGTGCCAACTTAGGACATATCTTCTTTGTGAAGTATGTAAACTCTAATCCTTTTTATTAAAAGTATTTATATGACCAAGAGGATTATGTCTGTCGCTCTTGATTTATGATCTGATTTGAATAACATGCTATGAGGATCATGTCTGTCCTTCATGGTTCTAATTGTTTTTTTTTTGAGATATTTTAAGACCTGTGGTATATTATCTTGGATGTATCATGGTAAGAAAATTTTCTACCATAATAATAGTTTTAATAATTTGCGAAAAATCGGTTTGTATTTTTGAGGGTGTTACATATTGGTATCAGAGCATCATGTTTCGAGCCTATATTTTAGTAACACTTATTTAAACTTTTGTTTGAAACTATTATTTGTGTGAATTTAATATGTATTTATTATGTGTGGTGCATTGCATATAGTCGGTTGGCAATATACATTATTATGGTGCTTCTCATTGTATGGCCATTATATAGCTAGGCTAATTTTATTATTTATATCTTGTATCCTTTAGGAGGGGAGAGAAAATGCCTGTTACTCGTGGTAACTCAGGATTCCAACATGAGCACCTGCCACCGCCACTGCCAAATGAGGAGCCTGACTTGGCGGAATTAAGAATGCTTGTAAAAACATTAACAGACAAGGTTCAAGGATACGAACAAGAGTTGACGGAGCTAAAGAGGCAAAAGGTAACTAAAATGGAGATAGGGCTCATGTTGAGAGTCATGTGGGGGAAGGCAGTTCCTCACATCCTGCCACTCTGAGAGATCATGAGTCTAGAAGGAAAGAAATTAGGCAGGAGGAACAGAGAGCCCCACCGACCATTACTGAATGTGTGGGAAACTGTTAGGAAGTTTAACCCTCCTACGTTTGATGGTAACCTTAAACCATCCGTGGTAGAGGAATGGGTGAAGAGACTCGAATCCATCTTTCGAGTAGTCACATGCACCAGCAATCAAAAAGTACAAGTAGCATTAGTGCTCCTAGTGAAAGGAGCAAGAGATTGGTGGGAGACAGCAGGGCCAAGGGATGATTCTACACTCACCTGGGAGGAATTCAAGGAAAAATTATTCAGGCATTACTTTCCATCAGAGTTAAGGTCTGAGAAGGAAGCAGAATTCCATGCCTTTAAGCAAGGGAACCTCGATGAGGACACATTCATTGCTAAGTTTCAGGAGTTATCTAGATACTCCACGTACCTGCAGTATAGGGATGATTCCGAATGGAAGGCTAAGCGCTTATTGGAGAAGGCTAGACCAGAATTGAGGGAACAATTGGCTCATCTAGATATCCGAGATTATGATGAAATGTGCATAAAACTACAAGTAGTAGCTCGCAGTAAGAAGGAGGTTGAGAGAGAGAAGAGGGGTTATTCATATAGTAGACCCCCAACCTACCCTCGACCCACCGGAGGCATTATGAAGAAAAACCATCAGGGTTCGAGTAGCTCATGGAACCAAGGAAGGCAGAAGGGTCCATTTCAAAGGGGCCAAGGACAGAGGAGCTATCATAATAGTTATCACGGGTCACAGAGGAGCCCAACAGTATCTACCCCTGCCTCGAGTACAGCGAGCTCTCAACAGTGCCCTAAATGCGGGCGTCGTCATTTCGGACAGTGTTGGGTCTGTTACATTTGTGGGAAACCCGGTCACATTGCAAAGTTTTGTGGGGACAACCAGGGCTCAAATATGAAGAACCCTTCCCAACATCCTACTGTCTCTGGTCGTGTGTTTGCTCTTACTCAGGACACCATGAACTCCCCAGATGCCATTAGAGGTAACATCAAAATCCTTCATCATGATATTGTTGCACTATTTGATTCGGGTGCTACACACTCTTTTATTTCTGAAACTTGTGTAAAGAACCTTGATTTGCCTGTGTGTATTTTACCTTTTGATATGAATGTGTCTACTCCTGCGGGAGAATCTGTGAGGACCGCTAAGGCATGCCTTAACCTAGTAGTCGAGTTTAAAAATAGGAAAACAACTATGGACTTAATTATCCTACCACTGAGAGGTATGGATGTAATTGTGGGAATGAATTGGATGGCTGCAAATGGTGCTATCCTAGATTGTAGAGAGAGGAGTGTGTCTTTATCTTCTTTGTCGGTGACCCCAGTCGAGACTCAAGATCATGTTTTCTTGTCGGCGGCGCAAGTTGATAGATGTATGAAGAAGGGTTGCCAGGCCTACATGGTTTTCTTCTCTATCCAAGCTGAGATTGATGAAGGCGTGAAGAATATCCCAATTGTCAAAGAATTTGCAGATGTATTTCCAGACGAAGTCTCCGGTTTACCCCCAAAGCGCGAGGTAGAGTTCTCAATTGAATTGGTACCCGGTACAGGGCCAATTTCTAAGGCTCCTTATCGGATGTCCCCTTCAGAGTTAGCGGAACTGAAAAAGCAAATCGAAGAGCTACTTGAGAAGGGTTTCATCAGACCGAGTGTTTCACCTTGGGGATCTCCAGTCCTTTTTGTAAAGAAGAAGGACGGAAGCCTCCGATTGTGCATTGATTATAGACAATTGAACAAAGTAACCATCAAGAACAAATATCCACTTCCGAGAATCGATGATTTGCTGGATCAGCTTGTGGGATCCGCAGTTTTCTCAAAGATTGACTTAAGGTCAGGGTACCACCAATTGAGAGTGAGAGCAGAGGATATACCTAAGACAGCATTTCGGACGAGATATGGGCATTATGAATTCATGGTGATGCCGTTTGGACTTACGAATGCTCCTGCGGTATTCATGGATTACATGAATAGGATCTTTCGACCCTATTTAGATAAGTTTGTAGTAGTGTTTATTGATGACATTCTTATTTATTCAAAGGATGAGGAGGCTCATGGTGAACATTTAAGAATCGTCTTGCAAGTTTTAGGGAACATAAGCTTTATGCCAAATTAAGCAAGTGTGAATTTTGGCTCCAAGAAGTAAATTTTTTGGGCCATGTTGTGTCCAGAGATGGAGTTGCGGTGGATCCTAGCAAGATTGATGCAGTGATGAAGTGGGAACAGCCAAAATCTGTTACAGAGATACGAAGCTTTTTAGGTCTAGCAGGTTATTATCGTCGCTTTATTAAGGGATTTTCGCAAATTGCGATGCCCTTAACTAAGCTGACTAAGAAGGATGCCCCATTTATTTGGACTGACAAATGTGAAGCTGCTTTCCAAGAATTGAAAAAGAGGTTAACCACTACTCCAGTATTGACTATTCCTACCCTGTGGTGCCGTACACTCTGTACACTGATGCTTCTTTAAAGGGTTTAGGATGTGTTTTGATGCAAAATGACCGAGTGGTTGCCTATTCCTCCAGACAGTTGAGACTACACGAGGAAAATTACCCTACTCATGATTTGGAGTTAGCTGCAGTTGTGTTTGCTCTGAAGATATGGAGACACTACTTGTATGGATCTAAGTTTCAAATCTTCAGTGACCATAAGAGCCTGAAGTATTTATTTGATCAAAAAGAGCTTAATATGAGGCAGCGACGATGGATGGAATTTCTAAAGGATTATGACTTTGAATTACATTACCATCCGGGTAAGGCTAACGTGGTAGCTGATGCCTTAAGTAGAAAGACTATTCATGCTGCACATTTGATGGTTCATGAATATCATTTATGGAACAGTTTTCATGATGTTCCAGTAGATGCGATTGAACATCAAATGGCCGCACTCCAGGTAGCAGACTTTGAGAGCAAATTCTGGGAAGATCTCAGAGTCTCACAGCAGAGTGATGACTACTTAAGGAATATAAGGAAGGAGATAGTGGTAGGTAAGGCCCCAAATTTTACCATCTCTGAGGACACAGTGATGAGTATAAAGGTAGAGTTTGTGTACCTAATGATCCAAGATTGAGGAATATCCTTTTAGAAGAAGCTCATAGGAGCAAATATACAATTCATCCCGGTATAACTAAAATGTACCATGATTTGAAGCGAGGTTGGTGGTGGCCAGGAATGAAGAAAGATGTAACTGAATTTGTTTCTAGATGTTTAACGTGTCAGAAGATAAAGATAGAACATCAGAAGCCAGCTGGAACACTGCAACCGTTAGATATTCCAAAGTGGAAATGGGATGATATTTCTATGGATTTCATCACTGGACTGCCAAGAACACCCTCGAGTAAGGATGCTATTTGGGTGATAGTAGACCGACTCACCAAATCAGCTCACTTTTTGGCGATCAAGTTTACCTCTACATTAGAGAAATTTGCTGAGATATACATTAAGGAGATAGTTAGACTTCATGGTATACCCTCTAGAATTGTGTCAGATCGTGACCCAAGGTTCACTTCAAACTTTTGGGGTGCGCTACAAAGGCTATGGGTACCAGACTGAGTTTTAGCACCGCATACCACCCCCAAACAGATGGACAAACAGAGAGGACGATCCAGACTTTGGAGGACATGTTGAGAGCTTGTGCCATTGAACTACCAGGTAGTTGGGATAATCATTTGCCATTAGCTGAATTTGCTTATAATAACAGCTATCATTCTAGTATTGGGATGGCGCCTTATGAGGCCTTGTATGGAAGGAAGTGTAGATCGCCTTTATGTTGGACAGAATTAAGTGAGAGGAGTATCATTGGTCCAGAAATTGTAGAGCAGACCACCCAGAAGATTGCAATGATTAAGCAAAAATTGCTAACCGCTCAGAGCCGACAGAAGAGCTATGCTGATAAGAGGAGACGGCCGTTAGAGTTTGAAGTAGGAGATCATGTATTTTTGAAGGTTTCTCCAGTGACAGGCATTGGTAGATCCATTAAGGCAAAGAAGTTGACACCTAGATTTATGGGCCCGTATGAGATCTTGGAGCGAATTGGATCTACTGCATATAGAGTTGCATTACCTCCACAGATTGCAGGTATCCATAATGTGTTCCACGTATCACAGTTGAAGAAGTACAACCCGGATCCCTCCCATGTTATTGAACCTGAAGAAGTAGAATT